ACCTTTTGTTCCATTGTCAAAAACTTCTAACAAAGTCCTTAATAAATTTGGCCTTTTTAGTAAAAACATCTTTGAACAAGGTTTTAGCACTGGGTCAAATATGTTAGTGGAAGAATAGCAAAACATCAATATCGATGTCATCAATAAGAAAACCAACCTTTATGTTTATTCGGAGATGAAGTCAAAATTTAATCATAAGGGGGCCAAATAAAAACAAATGCCACAATAAAATTTTTTATTTAACTAGTCATTCAACTTTTGTTATCTTGAGTGTCAAAGTTTAATGATATAAAAATTATAAAAATAAACTTCATATGATATAGTGATAAACTTTAGTTTGGATCATAAAATCTAAAAGTTGATTTCTATTTACGATTGTAAAAATTAATTTGTAAAATGTGTGTATTTATTATCTCATTTATAATATGGTAATGACTACAAAAAAATTATTATCGTAAGGATTAGTTTAGCCTGATCCCAATGTAAAAATTAAAATAAGTCATACTTATAATGCGATTTCTTAACAAATATAGATTGTTTTAATTTTAGTGTATGGTCATACTCATCCAAGCAAGTGCTTTTGTCTACAAGAGTGACGCTCATCCATATGACTAATATTACTTATTTAGTTGTTAACTGTCATGCAATTGAACTTTTTGATACCAAAAACGAAGTACCTTATGTACTCAAATCTAATTGTTGAATTTTTTATAGTGTCCCTTTAATTATTTGAATTAATTTTACATTACATCAAAAGAAAAATGTTATTTGGACTTCAAAAGTAAGCATCTATTATCTTTTGAAAGAAAAAAATCCACGTTTTGGGATAATATGAAACAAAATCACATAATATAGAAATAATTTTCTGTCAAATTTGTAATGGACATTGATTATTGGGACAATATAAAATTAATATCCATTATTAAAGGTGAAATCTAATGTGATACTAGTTGAGGAGGCAATGGGAGATAGTCACCGAGGGTGTCAAAGTATAATGTGTCCGAAGGTCATCACATCAGTGAATGAATTCAAATCCAATTGGAAAATATTAAATGCAATGTTATCAGAATCAGATCGAATCGATTGGTTGGACTGTGGACTAGACCTTAGGCCGGTCTGATTTATTAATTGAACTGTCCAAACAACTCAACAACTTGTAAACTGTTAAACCGATCAATTTTGAATAAAACTGGTGAATCAGACAATTTTTCAAAACTTGTTGGCTCAACTTTCAACTAAAAAAAAATTAAATCGGACAATATTTTTGGCAATTTTGCCCTAAACGAGATCCAAATCCAGTCTTCTACATTGTGCAGCTTCTCTAAGTCTTCTCCACCCTCCCCCCCCTCTCTCTCTCTCTCTCTCTCAAACTCGAAGTCTTCTAGCTCTGTGGATCTTGAACCGTCAGAGACTTTTCTCTGTGGAGCTCGAACAGTCGAACACCAGTCGATTCTTCCTCTTCGACTTCGAGTTTTCTCCATTGGGTTCTCCTTTTTTTCTTCTTCTTCTCTCTCTCTCTCTCTCTCTGTGTCAGTCTCCATCTTCTCTCCTCTCTCAGTCTGTGTCTTTGGTTTTGGTTATCTGAATTTTAAAATAGTCAAGAAGAAATTTCAGCACGTTAAATTTTGAAATAGTCATGAAGAAAATGGTACATACATTGTTTTCAATTTGGGTTAATTTCACTTTGTATCCTAAAAAGATATTTTAATTCCGAATTTAACCCTTAAAGAATTGGATTCTCAAATCGCACTCTCAATGTTATAAATCAGAGTAATGTGGCCTTATTTCAAGATCAAATTGTAACCTCAATCTTAGATTTCATCGTCGAATTGGGCTAAATTGCATCTATTTTCTTATATAGAAGGTGAAATTTTAGAATTTAATTAGTTTTTGGTACACATTAAAAATTAGAGCATCTTTCAAGATTCTAAGTGAAATTAATCGTTTAAATTTTCAATAAGCTTGACATTTCTGGTTTTCTTGGAATAGCCATTAATGCACTTACCAGCTCAATGAATTATTAGCAGCGACCGTTCAACTGCCTCCCTGTATCTTGCGCCAAAAAAAAAAAAAGAACAAGTAAGATTTCTTTTAAAACACATTTTCTCTATTTTTCTCTTTAAGTAGATTGCATGTCGAGAATTCAAGTGAGATCCATTATATATAAATGATTCTTTTACTAAAAAAAAATGGGAAAAAAAATATTGAAAGAGATTTAGATCCAAGAAAAAGGTGTCATTGTTGTAAAAAATGATATAATTATTAATGCCTGAGTGTCCTTGCAAAAAAGAAAAATTCCTATTGAACCCAAAAATAAAAGAGCAATGCTATGTGCACCAAAAATGCGTGCCAAAACTTACTCCAAATTACTTACAAATGTTGGATCAGTGAGTCTCATTACTAATCTAATGATTGCAGTTAATTTGATTCAAATTTTGGTGCATAAATTTGGTGCACATAAAATTATCCAAAAAAAAAAAAACAAATCATAGTCTTTTTGCAACGATTTATTTGTGATACCTATTATTGCTGCAAAAAGCAATGTAATGTGACTTTTATTGCCGCTAATACTTTTTGAGGTACTATTATTGCCGCTAATACTTTTTGTGGTACTACTTATTATGGAAAAGAGTATTGCTATTGTGACGATGCAGTAAAAATTAATAAGAATTTTTTTTTTTGTAGTGACAAGTTTTTGTTACTTCTAGAACACAAGGTGGTTTTTTGGTCTGCTAATAATTGACAATGCTTTATTCATAATAGCCATCATATACAAGATGCAGAGGAAAAAAAAAAGTAGAGAGGTGAAACCAAAACACATACTAGCAACATGACCAAAGAACTATAAACATATTTGCATAACAATTCTACAACTCGAGGAAATATTACATATAAAACAGTAGAAGCAATCAGATTTAGCCTCGCGCAGCCCATATTGCACAAGGTTCACAACTTGATATAGCAAAACTGGCACGTTCTTGCAACATCAAGTCCCAGATTCAACACAATCATCTCCCATTATCTACTGACAATATTATATGATCCATCATGCTGTCATACCTAGCCTGAGTTGTGCTAGTATCACCACTGTTTTCATAAACATTTGATCTCTCATCAAGCAAAAGTTCGGTCTCCTCTGAGTTCAATTCGACTTTAACCCATGGATGCCTCGACACCAGTCTCAATCCCTCTAGCTCCATTGCTACTTCCTTCATGGTAGGTCTATCCTCCCCTTTTAAATTCAAGCACCTCTTTGCTAGCTTAGCAACTTCCTTGAGTTGTTCAGCATCTCCTTCGCGTACTAAATGACCCTCAAGAACTTGGAACAAGCGATCCCCATTTAGTGAAGAAATAAAGTACATAGCTAGAACTCTCTCCTCTTCTGGCCTATTGAAATTTAGTGCCTTCCTTCCTGTTAGAAGCTCCACAAGAACTACTCCGAAGCTGTAAACATCACTTTTCTCTGTCAATTGGCTTGTTTGCATATACTCAGGGTCCAAGTACCCAAGAGTTCCTTGCACTATCGTAGATAACTGATTTTGATCTAGAGGAACCAACCTTGACGCTCCAAAATCGCCTACTTTTGTACTGTAATTTTCATCTAAGAGTATGTTGGTAGACTTGACATCTCTATGGATGATAGGGGGAGAAGCTGCAGAGTGCAAATATGAGAGTACTCCAGCAGTTTCTTCCGCTATCCTTAAACGGGTGTCCCAAGAGAGAGCAGACGCCTTGATCTTATTGTGTATGTGATCAAAAAGGGTGCCATTGTTAATGAACTCATAAATTAGTAGAGGGACTTGTGTCTCTAAACAACAGCCCAAGAGCCTGACCACATTCCTGTGGTTGATTTTAGAGAGAACCACCACCTCATTGATGAATTGCACAGTTTGAGTTTGATCTACTATTTTTGACCTTTTGATGGCAACTACTCTTTTGTCTGTTAAGCATCCTTGGTAAACTGTACCATATCCACCTTGGCCGATGATTTTGCTATCATCATAGTTGTTGGTTGCATTCTCAAGTTCTTCAGAGGTGAAAATTTTTACTGCATCTGTTGATCCTTCTTGTCCAGCGAGTCGTTGAAGCAAAATAAAGCCACCATTTTGCAGGAAGAACTTTTGTTTGAGCTTGATTGATTTTCTTCTCTTCAGATCAAAGTACAACCAAGAGCTACTGAAGAGCAGCAGCACAACACCCACAGAAATACCTATAATTGCATTTGAAGAATAGCAAAGAAGAAGGAATAAATCGTTTTAGTAAGACATTGCATATAAGTATGATGGATGTAACTCAATGATCCGAGAATGGTAAGGAATAAAAATATCATATGAGCGTGCAAGGTTCCCACCTATAACGGGTTAGGGAGGGAAAAGTGGTACAAGAAATATCCTACTAATAAGATGGATGCTGTTTCAGAAGAAGTTTAACAGTCTCCTAGGAAAAATCAACATCATTTTGCCATTAGTTACAAGCATGCCCCTGCTTCGAGGATGAAAAAGGGATTTAACTTTTAGTGCTAATTAGATCGTACTAAGGTCCAAAAAATAAATCTAATATACCGAAGAGGACAACTTCCTCCAACCATGCATGATACCTATAGCTCGTACTAAGATTCAGTTCAAGTCTTACTTTAGACCTTGATAATGATTACTTCATAAACCAGAAACAAAATTCCCTTTTCATTGATAGTTTTTTGAGAGAAAGAGTGGAAAAATGACTGAAGAAGTATAAAATTTCATTCGAATCAGTCCAATCCAAATTGAATATCAAACTAACTTTCTTTAACAGAAAGCAAAAACTTGCTACTTTTCTCAAACTAACTGCAACATAAGGGAATAAGAATTTGATTCCTCAGGACACAAGCAAATCTATGATCTCTTCACTAGTAAGAGGAGCAACATTGTGATAATCCCCACCAATAGTTGCCTGACTAGCTAACAATGGATTAGCAAAGAAAGCTTCCATGTGCATAATAGGAAAAATACAGCAAGTAAAGTTACCTAAAGCAACCTTGATCACTAGTGACTGATTGGCAGTGCAACCTTCTCCACCTTTTCTGCCATCCCCATGGTACCCCTCGGGGCAGGAGCACGTATAGTTCCCTATCGTATTATGACAACCTTTTTCAAATTTACAGTTATTGAGCCTTGGATCTTGACATTCATCAATGTCTGCAAAACAATTGAATGGAAAAGGCACCCATTACCGAAGCTATCGATAGCATGCAATAAAAAACGATAAAACTAAAGATGGGTATACTATAATAATACCTTGGCAGCCATTAGTGAGGTATGGGTTACCTTCGTACCCCTCCAAGCAACCACAGCGATACCCAGAAGTGGTATTACCCGTATCGGGTTTGTAACACTTGGTATTGTCTTTGCATGCAAAAGTAGCCGAGTTTTTTTCAGCCACCTCACATGTTTCGTTTCCAACGGTCCAATCGACCACCATCGGAAGCACGCTTTTGTTTTGCAGTTTTCTAAGGTACGTCGGTGTGAATTTGAACTCACTTTGTTCGGCAACAAAGGCATAGCCGCAATGATTGGAGCCTGATACATTTGTATAGTTATTATAGCTATGTAACTCGATTTCAATGCTCCACACCCCTTTAGGGATGGATGTCTGGCAACAGCCAACTCCGGAACAAGAACCATCAGCGACACTGTTGAGGCTGTCGCATATAGCCATGCATCCAGTGGTGGAAAATTTCGACAGCCCGTCACCTTTATAGAAAGTCAAATACGCATAAGTATCACAACCGATTACTGTGAACTTATTCTCGGTGGAGATGGTTAATTTGAAGAGATCGAACGTGGCTCCGTTATAGGACAGTTCCTTCCCATTCCGATCATAACAATTTTGGCCTACAAACTGCCAGACCTGCAACTGACCTTGGAGGGATATCTTTGTGACATCTATGTTACTGGTTCCCAAAAATGCTATGGGAGGGTTGAAGGACTGGTTGCAAGTGATGAGGAAGTCTTCGTCTAAATAACAGTCTTTAGTCATGCCAAATGGGTATGGGATTCTTAAATTACCACAACGATCAGCGCAGCCTGACTTGACCATGGCTGATGTTGCTTGAGTAGCAGTTGGTGCTACGGACAACAGGAATGCAAGGGTACTGAGGTGCACTAGCAACACATGAAAATGGTGTACTGAGGCCATGGTCACTAATTTTTGCTAATGGTGAACTTTGTGCTTGCAGAAAATGGTGTTCTTCTTCTTGGTCCTTTTGTAGGCACTCCAAGCCTCCAAGGAAGACAAGGTCAGGCCAGTGGTACATACGACAGTTATGTAAGAGCAATGCTATTAAGATCTAATTTGTTGACCTAATTCACTATAACTTTTGAATTAACGTTAGGTTCCATCGAACATTGAAATTTTATATTTATCCTATAATTTTAATAAAATCACGTCATTAGGTCAATAAATTATGTCAAATTTTTAGGTCAATAAATGTCCTTTGTATCAGCAAGCTCACAAAACTTGACCAAGGTGCTCCACCTTTTGCCAATTGTGCAGGGCGGCCACACTGTCAAAGTCGTGTAATTACACTCAAGTAAAATCCATTCCCCATGAATTCAATTTTCTGGATTCTCTCAATTAATTTCTGGATGTTTCAATTTCTTATAACCGAAAATTATTCCAATTAAACATTCCTTGGACTCGTGTCTCCACAATAACTCAAACTATGCATATTATAGCAGTCAGAGTGTCTAGATTCAGAACTTTGGACCTTGACATTGTAATTTCTGAGATTTTTTATCCGAAATACCCTAATTGCTTTTTTTTTTTAATTAATTTTAGTTATTCACCAATAGATAATTAAGTTCAATTTGTGGTTTCCATTTGTAGATTTCAAAATCATTAAGTCCCAATTATCTCCACATCGATGAGTTCCAACATTGACGAGTCACTAAACTTATAAAAAATAGAGAGATATTGAAATTAATAGGATCGGGACCCATATCTATAGTTCATACAAAATTCCTTTTTTTCCAATCTCCAAGGAAAGCGTTGCTCAAATAATCAGGCTCAAATACTTGATCTCATGCCTCACTCATTTTAACGAACCCAAGGAATTAATTAATATAATCTATACTATTTTGTACGTTAACCACACATTCTTTAGACTCGTGTCTCCACAATAACTCACAAACCACGCATATGAGAGCAGCCAGAATGTCTACACTCAAACATTAGACCTTGGCATTGTAATGTCTGAGGTTTTTCATTCGAATTACATTGATTGCTTTTTATTTTTTTATTTTTTTTTAATTTAAGTTATTCACCAATAAATAATTAAGTTCTATTTGTGGTTTCCCTTTGTAGATTTCAAAATCATTGAGTCCCAATATTAACAATAAGTCACTAAACTTAGAAAAAATAGGGAGATATTGAAATTAATAGGATCGGGACCCATATCAATAGTTCATACAAAATTCTTTTTTGCCAATCTCCTAGGAAAACATTGCTCAAATAATCAGGCTCATTTGGAGCCCAATTGGCACCTAGGATTGACCTTCTCAAATACTTGCTCTCATGCCTCAGTCATCTTAACCTGGTGCAAGAACCCAAGGAATTAATTAATATAGTCTATACTATTTTGTACGTTAGGCACCCTTTGGAAAATATTTTTAATTTTCTTTTTTTTTCTTGGTTAGATACTTTTTCAAGTAGCATTTTGGTTAGTGTTTTTGCTTTTTTGTAGTTTCCTTCTTTGAATTTGCTTCCTTCATCAAAGTTTAATCACATGTATAGTAGTATACGAGACTGCGATTATACCACCCACCAATGCAGCAATCACACCCCCACCACCACCACCACTTGACAGTTCTTCAATTGTGATGCAAGAAATCTTCAATTCGCCTATGCAACATCTATGTTGCAATAGCATCTCTAGTCTGCTCCGATGGCTGCAATGTCAAACACCTCTTTCTTCTCCCCCTCGCCCTCTTCCTCCTCCACAGCACAGCCCACCACAGTGCCACTTCCACCTCCACCACCTCAGCACTGCCCAAACCACCACACAAAAATCTACATACAAACCACCACAATACCATCTACACTTCCACTACAGACCCAGATATGATGAGAGAGAGGACATGGGTTAGGGCAGAACCAACCATGGAAGTGGTATGGATACGGGCATGGGTGCGGCTCTAAACATGGATCCCAATTTGTCTCTGCCAATTAATTGCCACATGTCAAATGCAAAGTAGAATAGTTCTTACCAACATTGCATGATGTACGTTTAAATATTTTATAAAACAAATAAGTTAATGTGTAATTTAATTGAATGATAAATTATGTGTTGAATAATTAATTTTTATTTAATTATTGTAAAATTTAATTATTAATTTATTATATCAAAGAAGAGTACCTAATCTCTTATTTTCTTTAGATATCTTGTTGGCTTCTTTAGACACTTCCTCTTTTGTTTATTGTGGAGATTATTGTAAGCATGTAATTCTTGAGTATTTGCGCATCTAAATATATTATAATTTTATTATATTTTTTTTGTCAAAGAGATTGATTAAATTACAAACTATTGGCTACATTATAATATGATATATTGATGCATACAAAAAAAAATATTAAATATGACATATATTGGATGGCAAAATCTAATTAATTTAGCAACTACATGTATATAATAATAAAATATAAATTAGACTTTACTTTTTTTTCAAATAAATAGACATAAATATAGAAAACTGTATGTAAAAGTACTATTAATAAATGATTCAAAAAGAATTTTCAAGTTAAATGCTACTAATAAAATAGTTCATGCTACTAATAAAAAATTCAAAAGAACTTAGAAATCAAATGGGTATAAAAAATAAAAATTGCAAGAAAATAAATAGATGGGTACAATTAAATTGTTAATAATAATTAAGAATGAAATAGATAATTAAAAAATTTTCTTAGATACTAACATTTATAATTAATATAGATATAGACGTTAAAACCACTAACTTGTATGTTGAAATAATCGTTTTACTTAAGAGTTTTAATTTAAGATTTTTCATTAGGAAAAATCTCACTTCAAATTTAAGATTTTTCATTTTGTACTTTCAAAAATTAGATTTTTTATATTTTACATTCATATATTAAAAGTATTACAATGTGATCCTTTTTGTTTGTTTTCGTTATTTATTCCGACAAAAACCACATTATTGACATTGATGTAATGAGTAACAAAAATTAATGAAATCGTCACATTGTAACACTTTTGATACATTGAGAATGTAATGTGAAAAATATAATACGAGGGTACAAAGTAAATTTTTTTAAATCTTTTATGGTATAAAGTACAATTCACCATTTTTATTATTAGATCTTCCCACATGTGTTTGATTATATATAAGTGAGATAGTGACAGAAACAAGAGTGAAAAGAAATCAAGAGAGAATTAAATAATTAAATAAGATAAAAAAAACGAGAGTTACATATTGTCAAAATTTGCGAAAAAAAATAAAAGATAATATTAACATTTTATGAATGAAAGTAGTTGAGTAGAGCTAAAGAGGGAGCTGTGAGAGTGAGCAGTTGTTTGGGAAGAACTAAAGGTTATTATGGGATATTTTTATGAGTCAATAGTAAATTATTTTAATAATCAATGACTACAGACAAATTAAATCAAGAACAATAGATCATCTTTGGTTCCAAAACGTTATCTTACGGAAGATTTATAGAGACAAAACTGACATTAATTTCAATTTTTTGTGCAATGAATAAAACTAATCTCTTTCAGGGGTTGTAGCGTTGATTATTTCTAGGTCTTAAATATGTCAATTAGTGGGGATAATTCAATTAATGAGATCATATTTTTCTTGTGGAGAGAATATTCAAATCCTAATATTTCTCCCCCAGATGTGGACGACATTAATTGTTCTAGTGTGTCTATTATCATGGATTTAAGTCATACAAACAGTTTTTCTCGATAAAATTGTATATCCAGATATCAAATTATCATAATTTGAGCCAGTATTTTGTGGAATGAGTAAAACTGATCGCTTTCCGTGGTTGTGGCATTGATTATTTCTAGGTCTTAAATATGTCAATTAGAGGGGATAATTCAATTAATGGGATCATATTTTTCTTGTGGAGAGAATATTCAAATCCTAATATTTCTCCCCCAAGATGTGGACGACATTAATTGTTCTAGTGTGTCTATTATCATGGATTTAAGTCATACAAATAGTTTTTCTTGATAAAATTGTATATCCATATATCAAATTATCATAATTTGAGCCAGTATTTTGTGGAATGAGTAAAACTGATCGCTTTCCGTGGTTGTAGCATTGATTATTTCTAGGTATTAAATATGTCAATTAGTGGGGATAATTCAATTAATGGGATGATATTTTTCTTGTAGAGAGAATATTCAAATCCTAATATTTCTCCCCCTAGATGTGGACGACATTAATTGTTCTATTGTGTCTATTATCATGGATTTAAGTCATACAAATAGTTTTTCTTGATAAAATTGTATATCCAGATATCAAATTATCATAATTTGAGCCAATATTTTGTGGAATGAGTAAAACTGATCGCTTTCCGTGGTTGTAGCATTGATTATTTCTAGGTCTTAAATATGTCAATTAGTGGGGATAATTCAATTAATGGGATCATATTTTTGTTGTGGAGAGAATATTCAAATCATAATATTTCTCCCCCCAGATGTGGACGACATTAATTGTTCTACTGTGTCTATTATCATGGATTTAAGTCATACAAATAGTTTTTCTTGATAAAATTGTATATCCAGATATCAAATTATCATAATTTGAGCCAATATTTTGTGGAGTGAGTAAAACTGATCGCTTTCCGTGGTTGTAGCATTGATTATTTCTAGGTCTTAAATATGTCAATTAGTGGGGATAATTCAATTAATGGGATCATATTTTTGTTGTGGAGAGAATATTCAAATCCTAATATTTCTTCCCCTAGATGTGGACGACATTAATTGTTCTACTGTGTCTATTATCATGGATTTAAGTCATACAAATAGTTTTTCTTGATAAAATTGTATATCCAGATATCAAATTTTCATAATTTGAGCCAATATTTTGTGGAATGAGTAAAACTGATCGCTTTCCGTGGTTGTAGCATTGATTATTTCTAGGTCTTAAATATGTCAATTAGTGGGGATAATTCAATTAATG